GTTTATCATCTCATCAATGTCCATTCTATATCAGAGCATGGAAAGGCAGACATGGTACATACTGACAGCACATGTGTCTTCTCATTACTAAAATATTGTTATTGATCCTATAACATAGAGGAGGAAATTGAGCCTCAGAGGGGTGAAATAGCCGGCCAGGATAATTTTGCTAGAAAGTGGCAGACCCGGGATTCAAATCTGAGTCTTGAGAAACTCTCAGGCTGACCTCCCAGCTACTAATCAAGTCACCCCAAGGTCTTCTGTTTTTCTAGTCTCTTTGGAGCATTGAAGTTTCAGCCTGTGCCCTGGATGACTCATGGGAGGACTTAGCTTCCCCATCTGCAGGGAATAACAGAACCAATTTGACCTCCTCAAGGTGAACAAAGAGCAGTGGTGACCGAGGACAGGAACCGGCAGACATGCAAGAAATGCTTGTTTTGTAAATGAGTTCTGTGGCGCCCAGCTTGGAACTTTCTGTCCAGTCCGTTCTGTTTAACTTTGAACTCTTTCTTGAATGTTCCCAGTGTAAACTGCTTTTTGAATAAGACGGACTATGGAAAATGTTCCTTATGGTAAGGAGAAAGAATGTCTGCTCAGGATTCAGTTTAATGAAAAGGAGAAATTTTCCATTCAGTACTTTCCACTGACCTTCTTGTATGTGCCAAGTTCTGTGTCAGGTGGTAGGGATAGTTTAGTGAACCCACCCTTACCTATCTCTTCACTGTCAGCTACTGATTGAACCATCACCTCTAGCACCTTCAGCCACTCTAGCTGCTCTGGGTTTTCCTGAACGTGTCCAGGACACTCCTGCCTCAGGGCCTTTGCATGTGCCTGGTGTGATTTGCTCTGAGATCTTTATAAGATGACAAGTCAGATCTCAATGCTCCCTACTCAGAGAGGCCTTCCTCAGACACCCAAGGGAGTCTTCCTGCCTCCCTCCATTACACTACATAGCGTCTCACTTTCCTTTCTACTCTTGAGTCCTTACTGCTCTCTGCAATCATCTAGTTTGCTTTTCCTTTCTTTATTGTCTATCTTCCTCAAATAAAACCTAATTTCCATGAAAGCAGGGCCCTTCTTTGTCTTGTTCCCTTCTGTGTTCCAAGAATCAGAGATGGTGCAAGGGGAATATTATAGTAGGTCCTCAGTGGAGCACAGCTGGGTGAGTGGGTAAGAGTCAGTGTGGTAGAGTGATTAAGAGAAGGGGGTGAGCTTCCAGTTCTCCTACAGTCACCAGGTATTAAAATTTCAGCAAGTAAACTTAACCTCTCTGAGCCTCATTTTCCACAACTTTCGAGTGGCCATCATATCTATAACCGCTGAAAGGATTGAGTGAGGTGGTGCAGTCAACCACTTACTTGGCACGCAGTGGGTGCTTGATAATGGGAAAACCATTACTACCTGGAACAGCTCCATCGTCATCGTCATCACTATCATCACTCTTGCTTAGAGGGGAGGGCTAGGGAAGGTGAAGCCAGAGGCAGGAAGCCTACTTGCAGAGCTGCTGTAAACACCCAGCAGCACCTCCCACCAGGCACTGGGCTAAGTGCTTGGTCTGCACTATCTCAGGTGCCAGCCTTCTGAGACTTATGTGTCCATCAGACAAAAGTGAAAGCAAGCAGGATTCAAAATAGTTCCACCCACTCCAACAAAAACATCTGCTTCTGCCACGACATGAGCCTTATTCTGATAGCCCAGTGATGAGGGACCCCTGCCCCAGCCAGAGAAGATTCTGGATCTGGGAAATCTGGATGATAGGCCCCAGTGAATTCACCACCCCAAAGGTGGTGCCAGACACCACCTTTCACATGGACGGAGGAGAAACTTGAGTGTTGATGCCCAGAAACTGGAGAGGCTAGGACCACAGTACCAACATGTGGCTGGGGTCAGACTCCCTGGCTTCTCTGGACCAGGGTTTCTCTTTTACCAAAGTAGAATCCATTAGGGAAGCATTTCTCTGCCACGTGTTGGCCTCTGTAGATGAGCCAGGCCCAGGAGGGATGGACTGTTCCCGTGATGTTGCATGAAAACCTTAGGCCTCGCCACCATTTTCTATGTTCCCTCTGAGGATTTCTGAGCAGTAGACAAGAGCCTTCGAAATGAGCCAAAACGACCCGTGGGTTGGACAGAGTTAGGTCTGCAGTGTCCAGCGATGCTCTTGTCATCTCTTCCGAAGGCAGATCTGCTGACAATTCAGAATCAGCCTTGGGGTCACTTGGAGGTCACCCCCATTTAGTTCTCTGCTGTGGTTAGTTGCCTCTCCTCGCGAAGCTTTTATGGGATGAAAGATTCAACCATTGTTTTTTAAAGCTTGAGTATAGTTTGGTATTTGGAAATCTTAACTGCTAAGGATATTCTTTCCAAGGCAGCTTACAGGGCTGGGCTGTTAAAAGTTAAAAGTTCCTCTACTGATGTGTACAGGGTGGCAGTGACATGTGCCATTGCCTTCCATGACAGTTCTTGCCAATGAGGAGAGCTTTGGGGTCATCTGCTATAGAAATGACAGAGAAATGTTTTTCTCCAAGTCTGTCCTTGATGGATTGATGGTGGCTCCTGAAACTCTAGGCTAAGGTGAACTCTAAGACCACATCTGGGATGAACAGGAAGGGAGAGAACGATCCATCGATTAGTCATGTCTGGTACAGGTAAGCCGAGAGAAAGGCAGCACCTGTTACCTAAATATATATGCTCCTCCCTGCCATCCAATCACATTTCCAGATGGGGAATCTGAGTTGCAAATAAAAGCAACTGGCCCTAAAGTATCTAACACACTGCTAGTAACTTTTCCACTTCATTTTAATGTTCCACTCCCATAGCCCATGGCAGAAAAGCGGGCAGATTAAAGAAAAAGGTGGGGCACACGCTCACCAGCCGAGCTCAGCCACTTGGCTCCCACTAGTGATGACACTCGGGTGACCGACACAATGTCCTTTATTTTATTTTTTTTTAATTTTTTTTTTTTAATATATAGAGGAGTGTTTTATTTATTTATTTATTTGTTTGTTTGTTTTTGTTTTGTTTGTTTGTTTTTGTTTATACAAGCACTGGGTACAGTCAGAAGCGCGGGAGGGTGAGAGAATTCACCAGAGCCAGAGCAGGGAGCAGAGCAGGCAGAAGGACCGAAGTGCACTGCTGAGGGGAGCAGCGGGCGGCAGGAGAGGTCTGCGCGCCATGTGGGACCCTCCTCCGGTGGCCGGGGAGCAGCCGGGGATTGAACCGGCGCCACAGAGGCTGCGGGCAGCTTCGCAGCCCAGTGCTCAACCGCTGCGCCACCGGGGAGGCCCGACAATGTCCTTTATTTTAAAGCTGCCCTCTTTGCAAGTGGCCTCAACGTCTGAATTATTTTACTGGGCCACTTCATTCCCGTCTTTTACAGCCCTGGGAACTTTTTGAATATACACAGTTGGATGAAGGTTATTGGAAAACAGGGTGATGGGTTTTCCTAAGGGACATCCAAGAGACGGGGGTTGCTGACTTGTTAGTTGTTGAGTGATGGCTCCTAAACTCTCCCCGGTGATCTGTTACACGGCCCCGATCTGTTTTCGCCCCTGGTATCGTCTCCCAGACTCGCTGGCACAGCTGACACAGAAATACTCGGTGTCCCTGGCAAGTGGTATGAGGAGTGGGAAGAGAGGAATTATATTTATTGTCGAGGCACCCTGGAGATCTTGACGTGAATGTGTGTCCCGCTCTCCTCTCAGTTCCACGAGTTGATGCTTAATATGATCTCTCTGGTCATGGTGAGGGAGGAGGCCCGTGTGAGGGGTCATCTGGGATCCAACCCAGGCAAGTGGTGGGAAAGCAAATATCTGGACAGCCCAGTACAGGAAATTCTCCCTTCTTTAGAAGACAGATCTGTCCTCCCCATGTAATCCCCAGCACAGCTGCACCGCTCAGGGCAGAGACACATTAAATGAAAATGGATTCTGATTTGGGAATCACAGTGGCAAGTCTAATTTCAGATTACTCCTTTTGCACAGTCTCACCCTGCTGGGGGTCTGCGCAAAGGGCAGGGAGGGGGCGTTACCTGGGGCAGAAACAAGTGTCTGTCCTCCTCGGTGCTGGGACCGCCGCTGCCCTGCCCCGACCGCCCGAAGGGGTGCCCTTGGTCCCGCACCTCCTGTGTGTGAGGGGCCTGGGCTCCTTCTCTTAGGCGTCACAGCCTCCTTGTGGGGTGAGCCTTTTCTCCTTCCGTTTCACAGTCAGGGAAACTGAGGCTCAGAGAAGCAACTGGATTTTCTCAAAGTGACACTTGCTATGCATCAGATTTAATTTTACTTTAGTCATTCACTTACTCGGTGTCATTGTGCATTTACAGTGTCCCGAGAACCCCATGTCAATGGAGAATTAAAGAACACTTAAAAAGATGGGCTAACCAGCACCCCCAAAAATGCACTCCTGCCATTGGGAACGTCATGGCTGGAGCTGGAGGGGATGATGCTCCATAAATAAGTCTGGAGAAAGACTCATATCTGGAATAAAAATAAATAAAACAAAGAGGCAGGAAAAAAACTAAACCCAAACAAACCCTAGAAATCTGCTGCAGAATTGAGGCTGCTGACGAGGAAGGGGTGAGAGGAGGCGGGAGGGGGCCGTGACCCGTGGGGGAGGGTCATGGGTACTTCAGTGGTGAGCGTGGGGGGTGACATACCTCTAAAGAGGTGTGAACCTGTACCCCCAAATCATGTACAGTGTTGTGAATCAATGTCACCCCAAAAAAAATCACAGTGCAGAGAACCAGGAGAAGCGTGTCCCAGGAGAGGGAGCAGCGTGGGGTTGTGATTTGCCCCCAGTGGAATCCAGAAGTGACTCTAAGGGAAAAAGTAAAGTTCTGTTTTGTTCTCCAAAGGCAGGGAGGGAGGCGGTGTCTTTGAGAAAGGGGTTGATGCACAGACAGAAATGTGGCTTATGCGGTCTCTCTGCTACGTGGCTGGGCTTCACAGCAAGCTTTTCCCCAACTACGCGCTAATCAGGGGTCAGCAGCTCATGAGGACACTGGAGCACTTACCTGGCAGGGGAGACACCAAGATGGAAAAGGGGGTCTTCCCAGGGAGGGGCTCACCCACTGCTCTCAGTGTGCTGATCCCTGCCAGCCCCCAAATGTGGGAAACTCACCTGCATTGTTGCTGGTAGTGGGGGCTCCATTCGTGCTTCCCCTTGGGGGAGAAAAGACATTGAAATAGAGCGTCTCTCTCGCTCTCCCTCCCTCCGCCTCTCCCTCCCTCCCTCTCCTAAATCCAGAGGCCGGGCAAGCAATTTTATGGGCTTCGCCAGCACCGAGTATTCCACTCAAGTCAAACCTTAGGGGCTGGGGTGGATGAGCTCATATTTATATAATTCGGCTCCCGACAGCTGTGGGTAAAGGACCCCATAAAGGAGTAAGAGGCAGAACCAGAGGCAGAGGCCAAGCAGTGTACCTCACACTACAGCTGCTGCCCAACTTCTCACCTTGCAGCATTTCAGAGTCTTGGGACAGTGGCCAGCAGAGCCCCCGACCTCGGTCCTCTGTGACTTCCTCCTCCATGTTCTCTGAAAAGCTGCCAAGTGGGGGTCCTGCACCCAGGAACCTACCACATTTGGCTTGTGTCCACAGAGTGGGCTGGTTAAAAGACAGGCTCTGGCGCCAGAAAATGTGGAGCTGAACCCCAGCGCTGCTACTCCGTGACCTTGAGAGAGCCGGCCACGCCTGCCAAGTGCGTCTGTTTTCTCCTTGGCAACACGCAGGTGATATTAGGCTCTAGTTCAGAGACTGTTGTGACAATCACATGAACTCGTGCATGCTGGGAACCTACTGGACAGTGAACGCTGGTTGTTTTGGGCCATCCAGACCAAACGCCACACAGACAATGACTTGAGTCCTTTTCACATGAGGGCCATGATATTCCAGAAGCTTTGATGCTGTTACTAAAATGATAGATGCAGACATGGCAGACACGGTTCTACATAGCACCTGGGACCATGCACCCAGACGCTGAGCAAATCTTCTGGCCCAGCTTGGCTTCATTAGTATCCCAGGGTCACCCACGCCGATCAAAGAAAGCCCATCCTTGTCCCTCAGAATTACTCAAGAAGCCTGTGACTGTTCCACCGGGAAACAGAATTCCAGTCTGCCGAGCAGCTCTGGAGAGGGAAGGCAGGGGACTGCCTTTCCTCCAACAAAGATTGAGCACCAACGACACAGCAAGGCTGGAAGATGGCACTGAGCTTGCGGAAAGAAAGAACCAGTCACAGCATTCACAGAACATGACCTCTGGTAGGGGGGACATGAACATCCACAGACAATTATACGGGACTATTAATTTGTTTATTGTTCTGGTAAGAATTTAATGGGATTATAAAAAGGACAATAAACACAAGAACAATTAAATGAGATGAAGTGAAATGTAAAAGTAAAAAACTATAAGCACATAGAGAGGAGGAAACCGGGGGAAAATGGAGAGAATAGGGGATAAGATGTGGCCAAGAGCTAAATGAGTGGCTGGAAGCCAGAGGCTGGTTTGGGGCCCTGGGCCAGCCGTTCCCCAGCTTGAAAAAAGACAGTCTATGTTGCCCAGTCCCTGCTTCTTTATCTGTAAAAATTCAACGGAAACTGTCCACGGGGTTGTGTGATGAATAAATGGCACTTACAGGTTGGAAATGCTTTACTCATTGGGTGAGGCTCCCAATGTGGGGTGATGGTGCTAAGCCTGAAAGAAAAAATCACTACCACCGCCGTCTCCTCCCCAAAGATTTCCAACAGAGGAAGTCGCTCACACAACATGTCGGAAGCAGGGCACTGCTTTGCTAATAACCAGTAACCAATAGTAATTAATAACAGAGCCGGCACTCGATGGCGCCACTCAGTGAGCTCTCTGGTAAGGCTGGACTTGGGCTTGAGGCATAATTGAGCTTCCCACTCCCCAACCTTAATGACAGGTTTTCGGTCAGTCTTGCTTTTTCATTTTGGGTAAAGAGAAATCAGAACAGCAACAACAAAAGACAAGTTGACCTTGACGCGACCCCATAGGGACAGACCCTGTCTTTGTCCTCTGGTAGGGAACAGGAACTACACGAGGGAGTCACGTTAGGTAGGGTAATACCATCTACTAGTAAGACCCTACCCAGCAGAAAGTTCTGGAATTTGGGTCATTTAGATTCAAAACTCATATGTACAACTAAGGTGAGCGAGACGTGTGAGCTCCTGTCTAAGAAGAGTCAGAGAAAGGGACATGCCATCTTCTAATCATGTCAGCTCGGTAGGTATCTAAAAGCTGCAGCTTCCTCCAGCATCCATCATCATTTCCATCTATTCTAAGCATCACCTTCCCGTGGCTCCCTCCTCCCCAGGCATAAGCACACCCAATTTTTGCAGACACAGAGTCCCGAGAATAGCCTCCCCTGTTGCTAGGCTTGGTCGTATGTCTATGTTTGGGCCAGTAAAGAATCTTCCTAAAAAGATGGCTTGGCTAGATCCTTGTTGGCTTGCTTCTTTATTTTCTTTTTTGTTCTTTTTCCTTCCTGTTGATGGGGCTATGAATAAAATAGTTGCCATCTGGCAGTCAAGTTGGATTATGCAAACCTGAGCCTCATCCCAGGGAAGACAGGAAAAGTCAGGAAGCACCCTTGGTCTCTAGTGACACTGTGATGCAGAAACTTCAGGTTAACTCTGAATTTCTTACCTTTGGATTTAAATGGACAGAAATACTATTAGGAATGTATTGCGATCAGTAAGCTGCTGATAGCTTTAAACTCTGCTGCTCACTTCATCCTAAGTGATACAGAAGACTGGAAACTTTTTTTTTATATCAGGATTTAGAATTATAGTTCAAAGTCAGGGATATTGAAATATGGATAATTTGTTGTTTAATATGTTTGCAACTTTTTTATGTGAAAATTTAAAGTTTTCTGCTTATTGTGATTGCAAACTAGAAAAAGGTTTTCAAACTAGAAACATCTTTGAGCCTCCATTGGGGGTCAGAACCTGTGCTGGATGCTACATCAATCCAATGAAATGCACGCCCTTCCTTTGTACAATTTTGGGAATCAGGCATATGTCCAAGGATTTACTCCCGTATGAGATGGGTTTCTGCTTCATGGAGGAAATAGCATTTGAAATGGATATAGGAATATGGGGGAATTGGGGAAGGGAAGGGGATCAAACAGCAAGAAGATAAAGAGGAGGGGGGATTGAAAGAGAGAGTGTGATAGGAAGTAGTGTTCCTTGGAGGGTTAATAGGAAGACCCACAGATGTGAGTGGAAAAGCATCTTTTTCCATTCCAATATTTCCAGTCCTTTTTTTGATAAGCATCTTTTGGGCTGCTTAATCCTGAGGATTTGGTTCCTAGTTCCTGTTATCTGTGTAACCTTACTCTCGGCCTCTGTTTCCAATCTGTAAAATGGTAATAATGAAACCCACACAGACTGCTGTGTGTGCTCCTCTTCTCTTCCTGGGAATATAGAGGACTATCTATCTCAGCCTTCCTTGCAGGAAGAGGTGGCCACGTGGCTGAGCTCAACCAATGGAAACTAGCAGGGCTGACGAGCCTCTGTTAACTTCTCAAGCTTTGCCACTTCTGTTAAACAAAAGAAGAGAGGTGAAGAAGGTGCTAGGTAGTGGGCAGCTCCAAAAGCTTTCCAACCGTGAGCTGGGGGCCAGCATGGAGGTGTTGACAAGACTGTCCACTCCCTGAAGGCTCTGGGAAGAACCTGTGCCTTGTCTCTTCCGCCCTCTCAGAGCTCCAGGTGCTCTTTGGCTGTGGCCACCTCACTGCAGTTGCTGCCTCTGTCTTCACATGGCTTTCTTCTTGGAGGATGCAATATCCCCCTTGGTGTTTATCTGGCAAGGGTATTTGTCATTGGATCTAGGGTTCACCTGGCTAATCCAGGATGATTTTATTTCAAGATTCCTAATTTAATTACATCTGCAAAGACCTTTTAGTAAATGACACATTTACAGATTCTAGATGGACAAATTTAACCTAAGATAGGGTTCCATATCTAGGCAGTGATAGAAATCAGATTTAACACCGCTGTTGCTACAATCCCATATAATTTGATTGAGGTTGTGTCAGTTGTAAACAATATATGTAAGTTTTATGTAAGCTTAACATAGCTTTGGTGGGCTGTGCAGTGTAGGAGGAGGAAGTGGGTGATACAGGTCCCCTGGACCTGAGTCAAAGACAGATCTTCCTGGTTTCAGACATGACTCATGGTTGTGATCAGAGCTCAATCTTGGACTTCTTCCACCCACCAGAAGAGTTGACTTCTGACAGCTCAATGCCCACCTCCTTTAGTTTACCCAGTAGAAACAGTTCCAAAGACATTCCTATTGGCTTTGTCTCAGTCACACGACTATCCCTAAACCACTATGGCCAGAGAGATTATTTACTCAATAGGAATTATAAATATATATTTAAGACAATCTATGTGAAAGAAACTCTTCAAGGTATGTGGAAATACACCAGTGAACAAAAGACAAATTCTTACCCTCATGGAACTTTTGTTCTGGAGGAAAATATAGACAATTAACATACATATCTAATACTCAATATCAGGCCAAGAATGACAGAGGCCAAAGAATGACAGAGAGGGTGGGTCTGTGTCAGCCAGCAGGATCAGAGAAAGCTTCTCTGAAGAGATGAATTCTTGTTCTCATCCAGTATAACTCAAATGATTACAGTAGCCATACAAAGATTTTTGGAACAATCTTCCAAGCAGGAAGAATAGCAGGTGAAAAGATACTGGGGTAAGAATGGGCTGAAATAAACAGAAAGATGGCATCACAAACTTCAGCACAAGCAAGGGACAGTATTGCACAAAGCAGTGAGATCAGGAACTCATCCCCAAATGTCTTGATTTTCTAGTGCTCTGCCCTTTGCCTTTTTCTCTCCATCTCTGCTCAGAAGAGGTGTAGCTGGTTGTGAGAACGCTGTGTCACCCCTCTCCCTGGATGGCTAGATTTTCTTTGAGTGACAGAAATATTTTAAAAACCATACCATTGGCCTGGGGGGTGTTTTCTGTTTCTCCACGAGCGATAGTATTCAAGTGCAAAGCTAAATCAAGGGTTAACAGACTCTGTGAGTCCTCACTGGATCATCATGCACATTCAGACTTAGCCCACGCAAAAAGCTTTGGCAACGTTTGTTTGGGTGGGAGAAGCGGTGGATAAACGATGTTTCC